ATTGGTTCTTTGAGTAGACTTATAAGTTTGATAATTACGTGTCCTTTATCTTATTGGTTCTTTAAGTAGACTTATAAGTTCGATAATTACGTGTCCTTTATCTTATTGGTTCTTTGAGTAGACTTATAAGTTTGATAATTACGTGTCCTTTATCTTATTGGTTCTTTGAGTAGACTTTATAAGTTCGATAATTACGTGTCCTTTATCTTCTAACTTCCTTTAATAGTTTTGTAATTTAGGTGTTGCTTATTGTTTTATGTTTTAGGTTGAATTTCATAATTTTGCAGGTTTGTTATTTTTATGTACTTTGTAGACTCTACAAATTTCTGGGTTTTGTTAGTAAATGAGTATTTTCTCTAAGTATGTTTTGTTTATGTGTCTTTTTGGCTACACTTCACGAAAGTTCCGTGGGTTCTACATTTTTGCTTTCCCCTATCCACTTCACAGATCTCCTTCCCTCCTCCTCAGGATTATACTTCTTCCAGTCTTCTTACCTAGTCTGTTCAAGACCTGTTGATCTGGGTTTTACTCATGACTAATTGTTGTCCTTCGAAAGATAGGAGATTGAAGATCCATCATAGACCTGTCCCAGTTGAACTCTTCTCTGGAGCTACTTCGCTTCACCATGGAGTCCTACCTCTCACTTTGGGTTTTTTATTTTCACTGGGACTCTCAATGATCAAATTATTGTGATGGTTGCCTATCCTCTATTCTAACTGCTCCAGTGTAACGTCGTTTTTTTCGTTTCGACCACAAGGGTCGTGTCTTCCAGTTCCGGGCACTGCCATTTGGTCCTTCTTTGGCTCTGTTTGTTTTGCCAAGTGGTATGCTCTTTTGTTAGTCATTTTCACTCCTATGTTCTTACCTTCCATTTCTCACCTGTGCTCCCATTTGGATCTTGATCTACTCCTTTGTCCAGTTTGTTCCCTGTGATGTTACCTGACTTATATTTTCTCCTCTTGTAATTCTTGTTTCCCTCTATTTGTTCCATAGAATTCCTCCAGATTCCTCAACATGTATTGCCTCCCCCTTCTCTTCTAGGGGAGCACGGGAGTCCTTGCCACTTCTGGTTCCCAGTCACTAGAGTGCTGGACCGTGAAGGTTTCCTTCTGAGTGGGTTTTGTATAACAAACAAAATCAGACTTTTATATATCATGTGTACCCATTCAGTGAAAAGAGGGCTCTCATCGTTATATTCATTACTGAACAATGATCACACAGGCCTGTGATGGTTTTATTGTCTTGAAATTTTTATATGGTCTACAGTAATTTCTATATGCTGAATCCAAAAGTGATATCCATTTTTCTCCATCACATACAGATTTTTCACAAAACATCATAACACAACACATGAAAGAAAGACCACATCACATAATTTCAGACTAAAAGACATAGATTTCACAAAGAAAATCTGGATGAATGAGGATGCATGTTCATTTGACATCAATGTTCTTCCCTTTTTGTCAGTTTGTTTGTATTTTTGTTAACAAACAATAATAAAAAATGTTCATTGTGGTGAATGAAATAATAATTTGATCTAAGTAACAGTTTTTTTTTCTTCCTGATTTGTAAAAAATTCTTACATGATAAAAAAAATAATATTATTTTCTAAATCTGTGTATCTGAATTATGGAAAAATCTGTTATCAAAACCAAAATGACTTTCATAAAGTTTAATTTCACAGGCCTGTGGTATAGAATAACATAATATTCAAGATCCAAGATGCTTTCCCCTAATGTTTTTGTGTGGGCAGATTGCACTTTTTGGTAAAAAAATTCCTTTTGCAAGGTGCTTCCATTGGATGTTTTCTGCCCAGATGGACTGTACTTGGTATAGTCTGACATACCCCAAAGTTCTTCCCCTGGATGTTTTTTGTCTGGGCACACCATACTTGGCTTTATCATATGTATCCAAGGTGCTTCCCCCGGGCTATTGCCCAAACATACTGCCCTTGTTGATCTCTATGTCTTTTGCTAAGGTACTTCCACAGGATGTTTTTTGCCGGGATGGACTGCACCAACATATTCCAAGGTGCTTCCCCTGGGTGTTTTTTCCCCTTGTGACTGCACTTGGCCTATTCATATACAATTC